AAAAAAGAATAAAATTTTGTGTAGACACTAGCATGGTATTCTTTATGTATTATCATGTTTCCTCTATATCACAAGGTTATATGATTATACCTTAAAATCTTAAGAAAAGCCTGTATTTTGCAAAGAAATCACGAGCATGGCATGTTATATTGCCGAAGGAGCGGCAAAATAAATGACGTTATATACAGGGAAAAAAAAAGAAAAAATAGAGAAAAACATATCCGTTAGAGAAGGTGCCGCATTTTATTACCAACGACTTGTGATATCGATTGCAAGGATTATCATCTCCAGTAGAAAATAATTTTAAAATTACACGCAGCTTGTATTTCTCTCTGTGCATGTTTACACAAAACTTTCATTGCTTTTGTTTATTGGCTGTATTCCAGGGGAAATGATCACGCTTAATTTTGAATTGAAAGCAATTTGTTTAAAGAAGCAGAAACGAAATCGTTGAAATCGTGTCTTTTATAGTATACATGCAGAACTTTAAATAACATTGATGGAAGGAGGGGAGATGGAAGAGAGGGGGCGCGGTAGGGGGTGGGGTGCGGGGTCGGAACATGCCGGGGGACTCATGACTATTGTAAACAGGAATTAATTAATGGGCAGACTTTATTCAAGGTGAATCGCAGAAATCCGGCGAATTCGGTTGTTTTTGGTGGGTTTTTTTGTATTCTGATTTTAGGTCATCGTCCTTAACCTTCAAATAAATTGTTGGTATTACTGTTTATTTGCGGCTGCTGTTGCTGTCATAACGAATATTTTACTGTAAGCCAGAATCACTAGAATTAACATATGTGCGATTCTTTGGAATATAAGAACTTAGCTAAAGCACAATGTTTTTACAAACCACAGCTTAAAGCCCACAATTTTTACTTTTTCATAAACAGATGAAATAGCAGTTACTGGTCACCTTGCGCAAGTTATAAAAGTGCTTGACAACTTTTGATACCCATTTTATTAGAAGAACATCAGTGTGACAATCCAATTTCAAGAAAAAACAACTCTTGTAAACCTAAAAATTAAGACCTGTATAATTATGCCCCTTATATGGCATTTATGTAAAAACCCCAATATACTGCTGAGTACCTCCACAGTCACAATGGTTAAGTTTGATAGCTTTGATATTATTTTGAGACCGTTTCTCGGAATAAGAACGCCTTGGTCCTGCCTTTAGGTCTTAAAACAGCGCTACTGTTTTTATACTTTGACAGGATGCTGCATAAGATGAAAAAGGAAATTGTTAAACAAGAAGTATCTTTAGCTGAACTAAAACTGGTTAATTTTCATATCGTATCTTAGGAAACATGGAAATAGAATCATAAAGATTATGATATTGAGTCTATAATTGAATTTACGTTTGAATTTTTGAAATATTTAAGTCATATGTTAGCACATATAAAGTATTTTAAATAGAAACAAAATGTAAAGTTTGAAGTAAATCCTTAAAGTAATTGAAGTTTATTCAAATCGAAATTTCAATAGAAAGTTTATAAATGACAACATTTTGTTGATACGAAATACCAGAATCAACAGATTTGCAACACCTTTGGAAATAACGAAAGAAATCTAAAATTCGAAAAAAGAACCGAAAGAAAGCTTTCTTATCTAAAATACTGTGACAAACAATTATTATAAACAAACCATTTAATCGTTAGCGGTTATATAAATACTTCATAAAAATGTAAAATACATGAAAATTATAAACTTTTTATCCATTTCACATAAGTAACTGATAATACCGGATACGTTCGTTTTCTTGTGTGCCTTTCGCTATTTCCATGCGCATGAGTAAACGGGATCGTGGATGTTCGTTAATGTTTAACAAAATCTATAACACGTTAAAACAGCGTCAAATAATCTGTACATAGAGGGATACATGGTAATATAGAACTTAAAATGTGCTGGAGAAGGCATAGTTAAACAGAATTTAAGTATCTGAAATTTAACTTATGAATTTATCAGAATAAAAGAACTTATGAATGTAGATAATTCGTTTACAGATAGTTTGTTTCCAAACTCCTTTAGATCAATTAAAAATTAGAAGCGTATACCATGTCTGAAAAATCTTTTATTGGTGTTAATTTCTCGTACATTACTTCTATGTAAATATAGACACGAACGAGGGATCATTGGCTTGAATGACACTTTAGTGAACTATGCATGACACTTCAGTGAACTATGAGTTAAATGCGATATGAATTTATCTTATTTCTCGTTATAAATGTGGCGGAACTCTACATTAGTGCATGAATAAATACGTTATTTGATACCATGGCAACCTTTATTCCAATATTTTTCAGAAATATTCAATTACTTACGCTATCGTACGGAGATATAGAATAATCAATTGAATTAAACGTATCATCTGTATGTCTTGCAATAAATTGGTCTAAAATGTTCATTAGCGTATCACTGATATCCTGTCCGATTACCATGAGTCAGGGATTTTTTTTGGCTTTTTTTTTTTTTGGGGGGCTTATTTTATAGCCGTTTTGGGGTCATATTCCCAATTGGAAATAGTATATTATTAGTTTCCCAATTCGATCCCTATCGAAAGTTACAAAATAGAAATATTGAATAAAGATTGATAAATCTTTGCAAATAAGGGCTTCTTCAATGTAATAGTTCTTAAATCTTTGAAGATGCCATCATAGACAATAAGTGTTTGCATCCATTTAATCACTGCAAAATTTCAGTCATGCATTTTTCTCCAATATTTTTTTTTATCAAAACACAGCTGAAATTCTCAGTTCCATGGGTATGGGTCGTGTTCCCAAAATCTTGGAAAAAATCTCTGATGACAGTTGGATAACGTGTCCTTGACATGTACTAGTATACGTTACTAGACCATAAAGTGAAATGGGGTTATCCCCTTAAATATATTTCTTCTTATTTTTAAAATAGTAATTACTATTACTCAGTATTACTATTTTAATTTTTTCATCATCATCATTATTATAATCATTATTATCATCCACATCATCAGCAGTAGCATTAGTATCATTATCATCATCATCATCATCATCGCCATCATCATCATTATATTTGTTTCAAAGGTTATCTAAGAAATTTGATGACAAGTTGGCGGTACAAAATCAAAAGAATTTTGCTTGAATTATCAATTTTTAAAATAACTAGGTTTAGAAAAAGATTAATATTAACTTAAAACTACTTTGATAGTATGACTAAGGATTGATCCAACTAATTTCAGAATTACAAACACTTAAACGGAAGTGCCGACGAAGAGACAGTGACGACAAATGGTGACATCAGAACCGTCGATAAAGGTACTTTGACAAAAAAATGAATATTGAAATTTGATGGGACAGAATATATTAACAATTGGCATGTAGTTGCACATTGAAAGCTAGTACATGTAGAGATAAACATTTACATGGTCTGTACTGTATATGGCAGATATACCATACCTAAAGCGTCTTAAAGTATCTTTTCTCTGTTCAGTTTAATGAGCGAACCTTCTATCGTTCTGTGTATGGTGAGTCTAGCATGCCTCCGATACATAAGCTTCAAGAGATATTATAAGTTATAAAGAGTGTTGACAGGTTATATGGCCCTATATAAACGGTTGTTTGTAAATATAACCCGAGCCGCTAGGCGAGGGTTATATTGCAAACAGCCGTTTATATACGGCAATATAACCTGTCAACAATCTATATAACGAATATTTAATACAGCAAGAATTATTTTTTAGACGAAAAGGGTAAGATTTCAGCAGTCGTGTATATAAAACTTTATAAACTTCACGATTATCCAATGAAAAATGAAAGACGTTACAGACGTGCAGTATTATAATTAATGATTTAGCTGACCGGTAAATAAACAAACAAAAAAATGAAGGTAAAAAGTAGATAACTTTGAGCCGCAAAACTGATCTAAATGTTGATGTATGGTCAGCATTTCTTCTTAAGTTCTGAGCAACAAGTAAATTTGAGCGACTTTGTCGATTTTGTTCAGCTTATGGTATGGCGGGCATATTCTGGGCAAATCAAGTTAATCCACCTTGCCGGTGATGTGCCTAAAAATATATTATATACCAAGATACATACTGGTGAAATTAAACTATTCTTAAAGCAGCTCGCCTCCAGATTCATGCTAATTTTCATGAAAATTTTGAAAATGTATCTGAATGTTTAATATTGTGAAGTAACCAAATTGAAACAATTTACACATTTTCAATGCCACATACAACCCGCGTAAATTATTAAAAAGTGGTCAAAAATGCATAAATAGCCCTTACTGCGTTAGTAACGCAGTAGAAATATAGTTGTAAATACTGAAAAATCAGTCATCAATCGCACATAACATTTAAAATATTACTTGAATCTTGAATCTTTTTAAATTTCCTAAAATTTAAGTACATTTTTCTTAAGTTTGATTTTATTGAAATATTTTGACTCATCTGGAGGCAAGTAGCTTTAACAAATGATTAATCATTTAGATTACATCAAACTTTTTATGAAGTTGTTGAATACTGATTAAATGTACTCTTTCGTTATTGCTTGAGTGTTCTATGCAGAATGTGCATGCGTGAAATACCACTTCCGTTTTTATGGAAATATCGTATTGTAAAAAGGTATATTACCGCTGACTAACCAATCGTCAAATATTGATGCATGGATGGCATAAGCACTTCTCTTAAATTATTTCAAAAATGATTGGGTACTCGAATTAATTAGAGCCTCCGATTATATAAAATAGTATCATACGCCTTTTTTCAGAAACATTTGAAACTAGCACACATTTCCAAGACCCCGAACTTAACGACCCGAGAACTCAATGCTTTAAAAGATGCACAGCATACGATAAGCCGAAGTTCGAGTCCCGTTGTGAAGCAGGATTCTGTGAATGCCATGGCAAAGATTATCAGTTGAACACATGTCTACGTAAGTATTAAAATTTTAAAAATTGCTTTGGAAAAAAATGCGAGGGAGGAATTATCCTTGATAAATATATACAATGAATGAAATCACTTCAATTTAGCATCACATACGAATCTGCAAACTATGAATAAAGATAGAAATGGCCCTAATGTTCACACATTTTACAGTGCTTAAACAGTAACAAAATGCCATCTCATATCTGTTTAATGAACACCAAGTGGATGTTTTCATTCCAAGTGTTTGTAAAACAACCTGCACAAATGTAATTATTATATACATGGTATTGACCATCAAATTTCACTTTGTTTTTCCCTCTTTGTTATCGGATCTAGTCAAGATCTAAGCCAACTTAATTATTTAGATGCGCAAACATCCAAGAAATTTGATATTGATAATGTCATGAATGGCCTCATTTTCTAAATTTCAAAAGACATGAGCGCTACTTTTGAGTTTTTCCATTTGTTTTGTTTTGCGTTCACGATTTTTCTAATTTTCTTTGATAGCGTCAGTAGACGGATGCATTATTTCAAAAGAAATCAATTCAAGATCTACGTTTATATGGGGAGCTTCGACGACGGCGTTCCATTGCAGCAGACACACCGGAAATACCGCACGTGACGTGCACGTCATTGGTATCTATGGGAACCATTTCTCAGAATCGACTTTGGTAAACATAGAGAGATCATTGGATGAAACCAAGCCACTGACGATAGTTCTTGCCAGTCATTATCCAGTAAGATGGAAAATTAAACACAAAAATCTCCCAATTTCTGAAATCATACTGGTAAGAAATATACAATAATGTGTTATATTTGAGTTCATTTAAGTGTGTATAATACAGTTTCGGTAATGATTATCAACATAAATTGGCTTTTTAACAGTAAATGCGAAAAGTTAACGTTATAGGAGCTTCGAGATTTACATTTCAAGAACACATATGAGATTAATATTTCAAGAACACATGCGAAATTAAAATCACAAAACCAAGATTTCCTTACAAGACTAAATTCATAATTAACATTACAAGAACACATTCGGAATCAGTAAATCCAGAAAAATATTCTGGATTATCATTTCAAGCCAACATTCAATATTACCATTTCAAGAACACATTCGCAAAAAACGTTTCAGAATACGTTTGAGATTATTTTTTTCAAGAACACATTGAACATTATCATTTCACAAACACATGCGAGATTGTCATTTCACGAACTCATGCGAGGTTATCATTTCACGAACACACTCGAGATTATCATTTCACGCACACATTCGAGATTATCATTTCACGAACACATTCGAGATTATCATTTCACAAACACATGCGAGATTGTCATTTCACGAACTCATGCGAGGTTATCATTTCACGAACACATGCGAGGTTATCATTTCACGCACATTTTCGAGATTATCATTTCACGCACACATTCGAGATTATCATTTCACTCACACATTCGAGATTATCATTCCACAAACACATGCGAGATTGTCATTTCACGAACACATTCGAGATTATCAGTTCACACACACACTAACACATTCGAGATCATCATTTCACGAACACATTCGAGATAATAATCATTTCACGAACACACTCGAGATTATCATTTCACGCACACATTCGAGATATTCATTTTACGAACACACTCGAGATGATCATTTCAAGCACATATTTGAGATATTCATTTTACAAACACACTCGAGATGATCATTTCACGCACACATTCGAGATATTCATTTCACGAACACACTCGAGATTATCATTTCACGCACACATTCGAGATATTCATTTTACAAACACACTCGAGATGATCATTTCAAGCACATATTTGAGATATTCATTTTACGAACACACTCGAGATGATCATTTCAAGCACATATTTGAGATTATAATTTCAGGAATCATTTCTAACACATTCGAGAGTATTAGATCTATTTCACGCACATATTCCAATGATATTCGAGATTATCATTTCACGCACACATTGCCTTTCAAGTGTTTATACTAATAAAGGAACGCATTATGTAGATCTATGCCAACATTGCAAAAATGTTTTCTCGAATTCAAATGGTATGATGTTCTTTTTTCATAAACGACAATTCAGTTGACGTTTCTGACTTCATTGGTGTGTGTATTAGGTACAAACGCCTGCATTAAATGTGTAAATAATAACGTTTATAATTTCAGCTTTCGGACAACAAACTGTCTACAAGTCAAGCAGAGTTATTAAATACGTTAGAAGTGTCGTCTGCTACGTTGCCAATAATCAGAACAGAATATTTTCCAGTTGGATACGGTGACGACCGATACCATTCGAATTCTTCCGAAATGTTTAAAAATATCAACAAATTCATCGGACCAGTCAAATCCTTTTTAGGGACAAATTTTGCAGACAAAATCATTCTGAAACTGTGACATATTTTTAATTATGAATTCGTGACTGAAATATGCGCTGTATCAGATTTTGATTTTAAAATGGTGAAATATTTATCCACAAAAGTGAGTTATCTACAGATCCAGTAACTTTGGAATAATGTATCACAGAAATTTCTTCATCAATGACGTCATATTTATTGAGTGGCGTCATCATGGAGTCAGGTATATTTATCTAATGCCAAAATTAGTTCGTGTCTGATTGGAATGCGGTTGCTTATCACTGTGAGTGGTTTGAAAATTGAAAAATGTTTATGATAGTGACCAGAGGTACACTAAGGCCTTAAGGCTTACAGGAAACCTTATGACTAAAGTGAAAGAGGCCAGGGGAATGAAGTGCAGGGGAATGACACTCCTCGTCTACATTTTGCATTTTATACATGTATTTATTTAAATGATACGTTTTAGTATACCTATCTGGAGTTCTTCTAGTCATATGAAGTGCAATGAGGTAAATTTCCTGTTGAACCTACACGGATTAATTGGGCAACTTACAGTGTTAAATTCTAAAATATACATGTAACAACACAAGACTATGCTAATGAAGCCTATCAATGACATCACAAAAATATTTGTGAAGTTAAAGAATCTAATTTATCTTTTTTAAGAAGTACTTTGTTTAAATGGCATTTTTCGGTATTTTGCTAATGAGTGACCTTCTGAAAACAATGTTATTCACTTCCTTATTATCTTGGTTACTATTTATCACAAAGACTTCATATTTCACATACTGATAAGTCATAACTAGTAGATGATCCCTATTGATTTTGGAGGTCAAACGCCAAGGTCACAGAAGCCTTAAATGTAAGAATGGTTTCCGCTCATTATCTTGGTAATTATTGATCGCAAAGTCTTCATATTTCATATATTAATTAATTGGTTATAACTAGTAGATGACCCTTATTGTTTTTAGGGTCACTAGGTCAAAGGCCATAGTCACAGGGGCCTTGAATGCAAGTATAGTTTCCGCTGATTATCTTCAAAGCTAATTATCACGACGTCCAGGGGCGTAGCTTGAAAGAAACCAATGTGTAGGCACTTGTGTTAGGGGGGTCCGGGGGCATGCTCCCCCGAAAATTTTTGAAAATCTACATTGCCGTAGCTGCATTCTGATGTATGTTAAGGCATTTTCTGAAGGAAGAGTATTCATAATTTTGCTGCATTTTCGATACATCAATATAAAGATGACAATTATATCACTAACTCAACGCAAAGCCACTGTGACATTTTGGCAAAAAGAGCTTTTTCCGTAAATACCTTTGGGGTAATACGAATCCAGAACTATACATTTAAAAAGAACAAATTTATGCAAATTTTGAAGCAAATATCAAAATTAAAAATTCAAAATAAGGTTGTCTAAATAATTATACAATTAGAAAATAATAAAACAATGATCAGGAAGATCGAATGCCAAAGCACCCCTAATAACACATTGCTACACCGGACAATCGGTATTTAGATACCAATTGATGATGAAATATCTAATGTCACACAAACAGCATCGAATACATTTTCTCAATAAGATTTTATGCTCCCATAATTCATAAATGAAAGTCTCTTTTTATTGTTTATGGTGAAACATATATAGAACATAGAATATGACTGTTTACGTGAGTAAAACATATAAAGAAAGTAAAGACAAAGCAAACTTACACCTCCAGTAATTCAATAAGTACGTTACCAACAGTAATGAAAGAAAAAGAATTCCGAAGAACTTTTATTATCAAAGATTTTTGTAATTTGAATGAAGTATTTCGCGCGAAGTAGTTTCAGAATGTTCAAACATCTATTTCACAATTGTAAGAATTACTATCAGTGTAAATTAAGTTGGCATGTCAGAACGCTCATATTCATTTACATGTTTATTTTAAGAACTAAAAAATCGGATATTTTCAATCATGTTTTTCCTTACATGCTTCATTTCTTCTAATATTTCTCCATAAGTTACCTAAGTCTCTCTATAGTGATAATTCAACAACCAATTTTTCTCTTATTTTTAATTGTACTTTCATCAAACCGAGCCTGCAACATTTTCAATTTTGCCGTGTTGGGCTTTCTTTAGGGAGTCTTATTTTCTCTATTTCAAAAGCTTACATCTATTCGCAACATTTTTGTATCTACTTTAGCTGGAGAGGTATTGTCTGGATTACATTGTTGAGAAATATTTGTAAATGTTACTTTATGTGCAATTTAATGAATAAATAAAGTTTCAACTAAGTATTAATTAAAAAAAAAAAGAATTACATCTCTAGCTTTAAAAGCAAACTCTCCACCACTAAGCTAATTAATGCAGAATTTGATGTGTATTCGAACACATAACTTGTCTATATCATTAAAATACATTTTAAAAAACTTATCGTAACACAGATTATGTTTCTCGTTTACTTCAAAGCGACTTTATGAACTTGCCAGGTTTCAATTCTACTTTGTGTTTTGTGCTCACGATTTGACGGAGATGCAGTTTGAACAGAATAACGTACACATAATTAAATCATGAATATCTTAAGAATGGAAGAGAATATAAAAGACAAGATGTCAAGGCTTCATTCGAAAGATATCACTTAGTTTCCTCATCAGTTGTATAAAGCTAGCACTACCGATATCTAGATATGGAATATCCTGGTCGTGCATACTTGTAATATTTATATTTTGAATCGAAGCGCTCAAAAACTTTTATATTGTTAAAAACTTTATCCGTGGCGTCTCTGATAGGTTTTATCACATAACAACTTTATAGCACGGCAACACTTTCGTTATGAAATAAAACTCGATATATTTTCAAATAAGGTGACAGTTCTTTTTCTAAAATTAGGACCTACCTGGGATGTACTATAACGTATGTTCCAGGACCTACACATCTACCGCCCTTACCCTTAAATTATTATTGCATTTTTGTAATCATTTCATTTTTCATTTCTGCGGAAAAAGTGTAGGCACGTGCCTACAGTGCCTAAAGGAAGCTACGCCACTGACGTCTTCATATTTCACATAGTGATTGGTCACAACTATTAGATTTTCCTTATATTTTGTGGGTCACTAGGTTAAAGGTCAAGGTCAAAGGGACCTTCAGTGTTTATATGGTTTCTGCTTATTATCTTAAAAGCTATTTATCACAAAGTCTTCATATTTCACATACTGATTGATCATAACTAGTAAATGATCCCTTATGAATTTTGGGATCACTAGGTCAAAGGTCATGGTCACCGGGGTCTTAAATGTCAGAATGGTTTCTGCTTATTATCTTTGAAAACTATGTATCACAAAGCTTTCATATATCTCATATTGATTGGTCATAACTATTAGATGACCCCTATTGATTTTGGACTAACTATGTTAAGGGTCAAGGTCACAGGTGCCTTAAATGTCAAAATTGTTTCTGCTCATAATCTTGAAAACTATTTATCACAAAGTCTTCATATTTCACATATCTGTTAGTCGTAATGGGGTTAAGAGTTCAAAGGTCAAACTCTTTATATTTCACATATTGATTGGTTATAACTAGAAGGTCATAATTTTTCTTTCTTCCATAACTGAACACTTCCATGTACCGATTTATGGCAAGTTTCTATAACAAAATTACTAATAATGTGAATCAAGAGCGAGAAAGGAGGGTATATGTGTCGTTCGACATTTCTTGTTTTTGTGGCATTGCACATTTGTATAAGGAAAATATTGATTTTCTTTTCAGGAATAAAAAAGATAATAAACATTTGTTGTAAACATAAACGATGCTCTAGCAAGACCAGTTTCTGCAACGGGCAGTTGCCAAGCATATGTAGAAAATATAAATTATGTAAACGTTCAAAATGAACAATCAGTTGCAAATAAATGCATGTTAAAGTAATTTTTGCTGACAGTGCATATATCACACTATAACTGGCATTTTTGCATGATTGCAAGATAAAATTCGAACCCTCTCAAAGGTTTGAACTACACATTTATACAATAAAAGAAATCATGAAACACATATTTAATGGTTGTTGATTATTGTCAGCAACAGTTCAACAGTTTTATCCTACACTGGCCCATACTTTTATTACGGTATGCAAAAATGAAACCACTGATCAAGCTAGTGTGCTCCGCTGTCACTAACGTTCTCAAACTTATTCTTGATGAAGATTCTTCTAAAATCAACAGAGATTTTTCGAACCATTTGCGACAAAATTCGCCCCACATTAATGTTATTGGACAGCATTGCATGCTGTTGTTTTTTTTAGCAAGGAATTTTTACATTCATTGTTCAGTACTGGTTGGATCCAGGAACGGATTCGAGAGTGATTCTATAAGATAATAGCTTCTAATACAATTTTATCACACACCCGTGTCGATTTTGCGACTCCGTAAAAAATGGTATGGCACGGCCGTGCATATATTTTGACGTGACATCGCGTTGAGACACGCTTAATTTAAGCATTATACTATAGGCTCGCCGATTAAAAATGGTTCTTTTTCTCTTCAAATGATCTTTATTTCTGGTATGTGATAAATAGAATATTAAATTCGTGTAAGTTAATTACTAACATTATTGAACTCGTTGAATAAAATAATATTATATGCGAGTCTCTGTTTTATTCAACTCTCACACTATTGGAAATCAGAAAAAAACTTGACGACAAAATAAGTTGCTATCTATTTCTCCATAATGCCATCTACTGGCACATTGAAATTCTTTAATAAGTCATATTTCCATGATCAAAGTGTCAATATCTTAGCTTAGCTGCAGAAACAAACTAAATTAATTCCATTACTGCCACCTACACACATACACGTACCATGTTTAATCAACCAAACTTCCCTTCACCTTTCAGAGCCTAATGACTGACGTTGTGGAAATCAAACGCTAACATTGTGGAAACCAAATGTTGCCATGAAAGCGTCCGTTACAGAGTGGTTAAGTTCTTTGATTTCAAAACACTTGCCTCTCACAGTTGTAGGTTCAAGTCACGCGTGTTATGCTATAAAGCTATCCAACTAGCATACAAAACGTCGGTGGTTCTACTCAGGTGCCCGTTTGTGCCTTAAATACTGTACAGATGGGCACCTGAGGTCTTCCTCCACCAGTAGAGCTGGAAATCCGCCATATGACAGATACTGTGTTGGTACGACATGAAACCCTACCAAGAAAAAACGTTGTCATTGTCGAAACAAAACGTTGTCATTGTCGAAACAAAACGCTCTCATTGTCGAAACAAAACGCTGTCATTGTTGAAACAAAACGCTCTCATTGTCGAAACAAAAAGTTACCATTGTCGAAACAAAATGCTGTCATTGTCGAAACAAAATGCTGTCATTGTCATACAAAACGTTGTCATTGTCGAAACAAATTGCTGTCATTTTGGAAATCGAACGCTGTCATTTTGGAAACCAAACGTTGCATTGTCGAAACGAAACGCTTTCACTGTGAAAACCAAACACTTTCTTTGTGAAAAATGTATATCATTTACTACATTATGCCATCTATTCACATACTTGGGGAAAATAGCGAAAAACGGAATCACTAAAAAAACGTCCAAACCTGAAAATTTGAAATTTTGAAGACTCGGTTGCTCGGCTTTTCATGGACGATAGGTAGTAAGCTGTTGTTTCATCTACTTAATTTTCAGGTTTTCTGCTAAATGGACATAATCGTAAACATTGTCAATAACGAACAATTCTAAAAGAATAATTAACTATTTAATTATTATCTTCATTAACTTAATTTTTTATCAGGACAATTCGTTCGGAATGCTAAATTTTAGTATATGTTGTTTTGATTTTGTTGTCTGTTACCACATGATACAAGTATTAGGTGATAAGATAAGGGTTGAATTAAAATAATAAAAAAATGATATATAAAAGACGTTATCAAATTGTCTCAATAAATGAATAAGGAAATTACAAAAAAGTACTTCATGGGATAAATTGAAGTCAAGGGACCTAAATCGATGATATAAATTAATGTAAAAAGAACTTAATTCATTTGAAGCATTAACTCATTCATTGTATGTGTTCATACCAATCAGAGCATTTCCGCTATTATCCGAAGTTTGACGGAAAGGGCCGAGAAGATGCGACTGTGTTCATACAAGATAATTATTAAATGAAGTATTAAATATAAATGTTTTCATTTCATTTACATCATTATCTGTATCACAAAGGCAATTGTGTTACAACACTGATCTTAATAATGATGCTCTTGCCATTTATTCTTGTCGAAATGTTCAAAATCCGAACTTTTCGATAGGTCCCACAATTTAAGTGTTCGGTTTTCAGATGTTACATTGTGGGACGTTTGATTTGCTTGAATTTTAATAAATATTTGCAAAATTGTTGTGCGTTATCAATGAACAATAATTATTATAAAATCTACCGGGTTGGGGACGGAACAAAAAATGAGCATATGCTGATAAGATTTTTAATGAAATCGTAAATAAGTATACTGCCTTATATGATATTTAACATAATTATTCAATATAAGATAATAATTTCAATTTAAACTTGTCAAATAGACAAGGAAATGATGGATGATATGATCCGTTAAATAACCAGCGGCATTTGTGTATTCATCCTCACGTGGTCACGTGAATGACTATTTACAAAATGGCGGAACACGCCAAGTAAATGTTTTTTGTCCGATTTAAAATATGGTAAACAAATGGCGACATTTTTAAAATTCACTACAAATGTTTACCGACGAAAATGTGTCAAAGGACAGTTGTTATAACAATTATTGTGTTCGTATCGTTTACAAACGGGGAAAGTTTTGACAACCGCGCAAGGTTCGACAAGGATGGTCCAAGAAGTTTTATTGCGCCGGATATAACTGATTTGGAGCAATTCCGACCGGAAACTCAACAACTTTCACCTAAAGATGTGCCAATTCTATCGGAATTCAATTACTATGATACAGAAGGTATACCAGATTTCCGTATTATTGACAGTTTTAAAAAGAAACTTTTATCAGTAAATAATGTGTAAAACTTTGTAAGTACAAACTATAGAATTTACGGCCATGAATAAAATATGCCATATTCATACATTTGAAACAAATATTTTCACACAAACAAACTACATGTATAGAGTATATGAACTACATGTGTTATATATGATTCATTTAGACTTTTAAAATGTTTGATGTCAATGATGTCACTATGACGTCAAGAACAGATTCGTCTGATTCAACAAATCGTAAAGAAATCACGGTCAAATTACAAAGCAAACAATTTGAATTCACCATTGTGCTTTTTTCTTTGCCTCTATGATATGATATAAAACGACTTCAAAACATTCTCGTGTTAAAGAAAAATCTGAAAAGTTCATGACTTCTTTTTTCCAGTTCAAAGACAACTCATTTTATCTGGAATCAGAAATGACATCATCATGTGGAACTTCCTTAGAGGTAGATTTTATACACATTATTAATGTAAATTCATCGTACTTCTGAAAATAAAAAAATGTTTCTTCAATTTTCGCGAAGCGTTGAGACGACCAAGAACAAATCAAATCATGTCAATTGAACGCTTTCATGAATATAAGAAACGGAAAAAATAACGATTTTACAGTACGTCCTAAAGGTTATGAACTATCCCTGAATGAGCGTATAACTATCTCATCTGGGCAAGCTTTGAACTATCCCCTGAACAGTCTTTGAACTATTCCATGAAGAGGCTTAGCATTCAACTATTCACTGGATATGCTTAAAACTATTCCATGAAAAGGCTTAGCACTTAAACTATTCACCGAACATGCTTAAAACTATCACCTAATCTTGCTTTACTGAATTTTTTGTCGTTTTGGGCGTTCTTTAGGGATTCCTTTTCCTCTCTTTAACATTTTCTTGAATAAGCTTATTCCTGTGTCATTTAAACAGTCTTTGAACTATCCCTTTAACTAGTTTTTATCTCATCCCATTAACATGCTTTGAATTATCCCCATTAACAAACTTATAACTGCCCTTTAGAAACAGGCTTGGAACTATCTCATTAATGGCAATTGTCAAGTTAGGAAATTGCATACTTGTGGCTCTCTTGTAAAACGCGACCATGAATTGAACCATTGACTTGCCACATTGAGCTACCAGATGAACATGACCAGAAAAGAAACCCCATGAAGATTTTATTTTACTTTTAAATAAAGTCGTCATGATTTTGTTAGATATCTTGCTTACTAAAATGACTTATTCCATCTGTTCTCAGTTTTAATCGAAAAATATCAATATATGGTTTCATAAAACAGTATATGACATCAAATCTTAACAGTGATATTGTTACTATATTTAGAATCAGAGGTATCCAGTGTCATGGAAACCACGTGTCGAAAGTGTATGGTTGCTGGAAATTTAGACTGTATTTCTAGTTTTTGTCGTCTGCATTTTCAAATGAAAACACCAAGGAAAAAAATGAAAGATGACGTTCATCAAAAAGGTGAGGCATTAGTAATTACCGTGACGGAAATTGTTCAATCAAGAATTAATTGGACTGAAAGCAACCTGTAATTGGCAAATAACTCCACCAGACGACAATTTTATTTTCTGTTCCATCCAACTATTTATAATTCAACAACTGTTTCCATTGTAAGACGACAATGTTTCTCCTAGTAAAATCAAAGTCGACCTATCAGCATATTTCTTTGTATCTTGACAGAAATTGTAATAAAAGGATTAACGCGTAAAGCGCATGCTCGAACTCATTTGTAATTGAATGTATGTATTTTTAGGGAATTAGTCTTTACAGAGTAGTAAATTTTCTTCTTGTTTTTTAACAGCATTCGCTACTGGAACTGCATTACACGGGGACATCTTGTGTTCGCTGTGTAAACACACCCGTGACGTCATGTGTACAATGAAACTTTGTGTTGATCCAGAAAGAGGCCAGAATGCCGTTGAGAGTGGCGTCCAGTGTATGCAGGGATTCTGTCGGTGGCAAAAAGAAACTGTTACTAACACTGGATTTAACAATAACTATCACGCGTGGTGGCAACCCCAAAATCTATTCTTTTTCTTTGACCACGTTACCAAGGAGATTGCTACAGCCTATAATGAGTTGATTGTGTCAACAAGCAAAGCGTTTCATGGACTCCGTAAAACTAATTAATTAAATAATGACAAAGAACACCGTAATAAATTGTGTAAAATTGGCACACATTTATGTATCTCAAAACCGGATATTGCGACATTGCGTGACTATTTTTAGTAACAATCTGATATGGTATATTAAATGTAAATTTCGCCAATAAGATTACAATAAAAAGTTGAATGCATAGCAACAATCTTGATGTCAATTATCAAATAAAATAGAGATAAATAGAATTCAGGACTATAGAACGCTCAAACTTAGGCTTTGCCTAATTTCATATTATCCAGTGAGTTTTGTTCCATATCACTAAAAGAGCACACTATTTAATTGGTTTTGTTCAAAGTTTTACAGTGGTGGGTAATATAAAATCACTTTTCCATGTCTTGCAAGTCTGTACAATTCAATGTGTATCATTTCTTGTGATTAAAACCATTATGTCGCGTGCTACGTAAGGGTACAATACAACCAGACAGTCCAAGATATTTGAAACTTTAGCGTAGAATACTGGTATTGTCGTTTGGACATTAATAGTACTAATTCTCCTCTTAATGTAAAATGACTTTTAAAAACGTTTGTGAATAAAAGTGCCCTTTGACGTCTCCATAGACACACATATCATTCTGTTATATGGTTCAGTGGTATACATTTAGCTCCATCGCATATGTTGTGAAGTTAAGTGTTGTAACTGTTGTGTTTGGCATATTGCCATATAAACATACATCTGATGTAAAACGCGTCTACTTCCTGTTAAACAATGACCGGATATAGCAGGTGCTTGCATAGTTGCTTGAATTTTACAGACTAGAAACACAGGGTCCCAGCACAGTGTTGGGATAGTGTAAAAAAGTAATATTTAAAAAAAATATATATTGTATATATAATATATAGACAAGGGGTTGAACTCGCCAAATCGGCCGAATGCCCCTAGTCCAGTGTAAGTCAAAATTGCAAAGTCATTCTTGCGTTAATCATATAAAGCTATATATCAAATTGCAGCTAAATGACATCACTAAACGTTGACAATAACATTACTGTCCCCCCTAAACCGTTTTTGAATAACAAACCGATATTTCGGATGAAACATCGTATTTTTGCTAGGTCGGACCTGTCAACACTCGATTTTCTACGTGTAAAAACGCAATTCCAAACCATGTCATTATACCAACCCGCAATAAATCGATAAAACAAAACAAAATAAACAACTTACCGCTGGAAATTGTTCCAAAACAAATCAATTATAGCAAACATTCATTTCTTTTTATTTCTCCTCCGGCAAATTATTTTTTTGAAGCCATGATACATACTCGACAACGGTTGTAAGACGTCGTTTGATTTGACGATTCTGTGACCCAGCAATGCTTTGTATTTTAATCAACCAATGAAATAATCCGTTTCAAATTGGTCACGTGATAGCCAATGGATGCTGATTACAACTTTCATTTTCACATTCAGGAATTAATTGTTTACAGACGCTATAAAACATTTTAAAAATCAATTTCCGGCGGTAAGTTGTTTCTTTTGTTTTGTATTATCGATTTATTGCGGGTTGATATAATGTCATGGTTTGGAATTGCGTTTTTACACGTAGAAAATCGAGTGGGGACAGGTTGCACGGTTGTGTTCGACCTAGCAAAAATACGATGTGGCATCCGAAATATCGGTTTGTTGTTCAAAAACGGTTTAAGTTGGGACAGTTATGTTATTGTCAACGTCTAGTGATGTCATTTAGCTGCAATTTGATATATAGCTTTATATGATTTACGCAAGAATGACTTTGCACTTTTGACTTATACTGGACTAGGGGCGTTCGGCCGATTTGGCGAGTTCAACCCCTTGTCTATATATTATATATAAAGTATTTTTTTTTCTAGAATTACCTTTTTTACACTATCCCAACACTGTGCCGGGTCCCTTTGACTAGAAAGACATAGAACAGTGTTTTCAGTTTATTCAGTGTGAAGCTACATGTAACACTGTTGCTCTGAGCCACCCCCATGAAATATTGCAGTCTTTCATAGAGATATACAATAACACTGGATATCACCAATTCACAAAGCTGAATTTGTAGTCGGTTACAGTTTGTTTCTTCTTATCATGTTTAAACAGGTACTTCCTCGAATCAACTTTTTAACGCCACCAAATCCGCCCCCCACCCCGCCTCCGAGGTGCGCTCGTTGAGGCAAAGGTACACAACATGTCATTCTTGCATATCAGACTGGCGTTTCCGTTAGTTTTATCCATGCCGGAAATTTCATCTGGCATGGGGGATTCCAGATGAGTCGCGTGCTGTACAATGACACGATAAAGATGACGTCATTTTACCGTAATGAATGATTTTGTAATTCATACGCTGTTGAATGAAAGTAGTTACGGCTGTAATGATATAAATTTTCATTGAAAATAAAGATAAAGAATTTAAAATATAATGGAATATGGTAGAATATGCAAGAAAAAAATATCTGACATATGTTTGCGGTTCGGATCGGAATATCCGTCCCTCGGTCACCCGCCCATGGGCGGTAACTCGGCAAGCCTCGTTACCGCCCAATGGGCGGATCACCTCGGGGCGGATATTCCGATCCGAACCGCAAAATATGACAGATATTATTAGTCCAACCTAATTGGTCATCTGTCGTGACAAGACTCAGAAGCGTAGCCCTGTAAAAATCCATTTAGGAAAAAAAACGCAGCAATAAATGGGACCATCATTGAGCGTAGGAAGCACCTAAAAAGGCAGCCGAACGACAGCTGGAGAAGACACAGTGGATTGACTACAGCAGACGACAAGCAATGCGTAGATTTTCTAGGTCATATTGGTTTGACCCGGCGGCTAGTTTAAAAAAAAATTAAAAAAGAAGAAAAAAAAAACCCAACACTTTTTGCTGAAGTAATTTGTTTATTGGAAAGGAAACATTGATTTCACTGACAAGTTAATTTAAAGAATACTAGCATGGTGATTAAGCGCTGGTAACCATGGTTATTTAACTTACGAGATTAAAGATCTGTCACTGACCTAACGGTTTCTACCCATGATAGAAGAGTGCTAAATATCATTATAATAATATCTTATTGACACCGAAAAGAAATAATACAAATACAACAAGAGGGCCATGATGGCCCTGAGGTCGCTCACCTGTATATAGCCCCCCTCCCCCCCGTGCCAATGTTTACCCAAGGGCTTTTATTTGTTTATTTGAACAAACTTGGTAGACACCCATAAGACGATGTTTCATGCTAAACATCTAAGTCCTAGCTCATTGGGTTTTTTAAAAGAAGATTTTTTAAGTTTTTACTATACACATATAGTTAAAAACAATGACACCCCTGAGGCAGGGCCAGTTTTGACCCCCGGGCTTTAATTTGTAGATATCTACTTATAGATGTTTCATGCTTAATATCTAAACTAAAGCTATTTGGGTTTTTTTCAAAGAAGATTTTTAAGTTTTTGCTATACACATATAAGGAAAATCAATGACCCCCGGGGCGGGGCCAGTTTTGACCCCAGGGCTTTTATTTGAACATACTTGGTAGACACCCATTAGAACATGTTTCATGCTAAATATCTTAGCTCTAGCTCTTTGGGTTCTTTAAAAGAAGATTTTTTAAGTTTTTACTACATGTATATGCATTTGGGGAAAATCAATGACCCCCTGGGGCGGGGCCAATTTTGACCCCAGGGCTTTTATTTGAACAAACATGGTAGACATTCACAAGAAGATGTTTCATGCCAAATATCTAAGCTCTAGCTCTTACGGTTCTTTAAAAGAAGATTTTTTAAGTTTTTACTATATGCATATAGGGAAAATCAATGACCCCCCCCAGGGCGGGGCCAATTTTGACCCAGGGCTTTTATTTGAACAAACTTGGTAGACACTCACTAGAAGATGTTTCATGCCAAATATCTTAGCTCTAGCTCTTTGGGTTCTTTAAAAGAAGATTTTTTAAGTTTTTACTATATGCATATAGGGAAAATCAATGACCCCCTGGGGTGGGGCCAATTTTGACCCCAGGGCTTTTATTTGAACAAACTTGGTAGACATTCACTAGAAGATGTTTCATGCCAAATATTTAAGCTCTAGCTCTTACAGTTCTTTAAAAGAAGATTTTTTAAGTTTTTACTATATGCATATAGGGAAAATCAATGACCCCCTGGGCGGGGCCAATTTTGACCCCAGGGCTTTTATTTGAACAAACTTGGTAGACACTCTTTAGAAGATGTTTCATGCCAAATATCTAAGCTCTAGCTCTTATGGTTTTTTAAAAGAAGATATTTAAAGATTTTTCTTTCGGTTGCCATGGCAACCAGAGTTCTGCATGGAATTAAATTCTTTGAACAATTTTTAAAGGTGACCACCAAAGGAACATTCCTGTGAAGTTTGGATGAAATTGGCTCAGTGGTTTATGAGGAGATGTCATTTAAAGCAAAAGTTTACGGACGGACGACGGACGGACGCCGGACGAAAAGCGATCACAAAAGCTCACCCTGTCACTTTGTGACAGGTGAGCTAAAAATAAAACACAAAAAAACACGAAACCACCCCAAGAGAAATAAGAAAGAAAAAGAAAAGAAAAATGAAATATCAGTTCATTTATTATATGTTGATAAATTGCAAACGGTTACTTAGTTGATATTATTAAGTCAGCGTGAAAATAGCACATGATCGAAGTGCATGCATGAAAATTTAATAATTCGAAATGTTTCGGTACTATAAGTATGGTATAGTAAAACCGAAATATATGTATAACGTATAATTATGTCGTATTCGACAAAGTTGGAGCGAATTTCTAAAAGCCGAGTTGGAAAAAGGTCTAATACATTTCGTTGAATTTTGTTACATAATTATGCCATCGATTTTAGAATTTTTATGTGTCATGAATTCAAATATTCTAACTACGTGCAAATGTTCGACGTTTTGCTGTAATTCCACTATCATTGTTGACACATTCGAAAAAGAATCCATAAGACGAAACGAAATAACGATCAGACGGCGTAAGAGCGCGAAAACACGGCGCCAGATTGCAAAAACGTAAAAATGGCACAAGAGAGCAAAAACATAGTGCAAGAGTTCGAAAATACGGCGCAAGTGTGCAAAATATCGGCACAAGAGCGCAAAGCACGACAAAGGAGCGCCAAAACACAGCGTAAGAGTGCAAAATCACGGCACAAAAGTGGGAAAACACGGCGCAAGAGTTCGAAAACATAGCGCAAAAGTGCACAATCACGGAGAAAGGCACAAAACGGACCAAAAGAGCGCGAAAACAAGGCACAAGAGTGCAAAAACACGGCGCAAGAGTTCGAAAACACAGCACAAAAGTCCACAATCACGGAGAAGGGCACAAAACGGGCCAAAAGAGCGCAAAAACACGGCAAAAGAGTGCAAAAGCACGGCGCAAGAGTTCGAAAACACAGCGCAAAAGTGCACAATCACGGAGACAACAGGCACAAAATGAGTGCGAAAACACGGCGCTAGAATGCGAGCGCAAGAGTGCGAAAACGAAGACACGGTACAAGAGTGCAAAAACACGGAGCAAGAGTGCGAAAACGAAAACTAGGCGCAAAAGTGCGAAACCACGATACAAGAGTTCGAAAACACGGCACAAGAGTGCGTAAACATGGCGCAAGAGTGCGAAAAGGAAAGCACGGCGCAAGAGTGCGAAAACGAAAACACGGCACAAGATTGCAAAAACTAAAAGGCGCCAGAGTGCAGAAAAACACGGCGCAGGTGCGCAAAAACACAGTGCAAGATTTCGAAACACGGCGCAAACGCTGAGAAAACACAGTCCACAGCGCGAAACACGGCACAAGTGTGCAAAACGATAACACGGCAAAAGGCAGCCAAAACATAAAAAAAGACTCAAAAGTGCGAAAACGAAAACACGACGCAAGAGTGCAAAACATGGCAAAATAGTCCAAAAACACCGCGCAAGAGTGCGAAAACACGGCGAAAGAGTGCGAAAACAAACACACGAGACAATAGTGCGAAAACACAATAGTGCGAAAACACGACACAAGAGCGGGACAAACACCGCACAAGAGTGCGAAGAGCTGCTTACACCTGCGTTCGCTGTGCAAATGCGCGAAAATATTCCTATGATACGTAACAGCGATATAACTATAACTCCGATATAACGATACAATACAATAAATGGATACATGCACACATTTAGCAACCTCGCGATTCAGCTAAAGTTTTCGATCGTTTGTACTTAAATCTTACCAACTGTTCTTTCTCTAAAGAAAAGAACTTGAATCTTCTCTGTTTATTTGCAAGCAGTTAATGAGCTTAAAGACTGTGATAAGGCAGTTTCTACGAACACTTTATTTTGTAATGTCAATAGCGATTTCGAAAGTCTTCCGGCAGTCCTGTTAGATACCATGATAATTTGAGCGGCTGATTCATGTTGAACACGTGTACCATACAATAATTTATATCCATTCATCTGAAGCTTAGTGTTTAAGAACAAATATCCACAAGTCACTCAACGAAACAAAGTATAAAATATTCACTCTTGACAACATTATTTGAATCTTCATCCAGGTTTAACAAGCGCCATTGCTCATAATCCCTTTACTTCTTATTCCTTTATTTCTCAGCCTCCCTTGGCGGTGAATAAACACGTGTGTGTCCTCGGGTTTATTCAGGGATTTCTTGTACAGGACTGCGTAGGCATACAAGAGCAGGAAGGTATTCACAAATACCGGTATAGCCAGTGCCATCATGACCACTCCAGATACCGCACACACTCCTCCAATCAATCGCCCGTATAAAGTCTTCGGTACGACATCACCGTAGCCAACGGTTGTCATAGTGCTGATCGCCCACCACCACCCGATAGGGACACTCTGTATGTCTTCTGAACTCTCAACAAAGAAAATGAAGTTGGCAAAAATTATAATGCCAAGGACCAGGTACAGAAAGAGAACGAGCAAATCGTTCAGCGAAATTTTGATGGAGAAGGAGAGCACTTTAAAAGCAGTGACGTCACGTACAACCCGAAGCAGACGGATAACTCGCAGAACCTGAAAGATTTCTAAGAGATCGAAGTTAGACAACTCGTACTTTTCATTTTTCTTCAGGAAATTTATCGCTATATGGGCATATGCTGATAAAACTACAAGCGCGTCAACTACATTGATTGTTGACAGGAAGTACTTTCCAACGCTTGGACAACAAAAGATGCGCAGGAGCAAATCGGCGGTGAAAAAGCCAAGGAGAATCGTGTCGAGGTAAACGACGGATTGAATCCGAACGGTTTTCTTTCCAATTCCAGTTTGTGGTCTCAGGGCCTCGAAAATATGTGAAACAAACGTGTCATCCGAAACAGTGTCCGCATAATCAAAATTGAAGTCAAAAAACCCGCGCTCTGAGTCGAACTTTTCATCAGAGTCGCTTGAATTTTTCTGTTTTAAGTACTCGTCAGGAGCTATCAAGATGTCGTTCTTTTGAAGGTCTGTTCTGTTCGTCACATTTACACGTTCGTACTCGACAACGACGGTTTGATATATCGAGTCGGGCAGTGGCTCGGTGCACGAGTCGTTCTGATTTACGGTAAATTCTGTTGAAGTGACGGGCATTCCAAGGACCTCCTCTAATTCACATTTTGTCAGGTTTCTTCGGAAATACGGCAGACTGCTCAGAGCCAGGGTTAGGACAGATAATATCACCATGATTGTACAAAGCCAAAAGTACAGCTGAAATAAATTTTTGTTTTGTATTCTTTTAATATAATATAATTATACCAACGGATAAGAAATACGTATTACATTTCTATCAAGTATTATGGTGTCTGATTTAGTACACTGCGCGTTGCGTTGTCCATAGCGACAACAAAGGATAAATCGTTATCGCTTCTTCGTCTTGTCGCTGGCGAAACGCACCAAACGGCGCGTTGTCGCACTGTCGTCTTGTCGTCCTGTCTTTTGAAAAGCACGCTAAACGGCGCGTTGTCGTGCGGTGCGATGTCGCCCTGTCGCTTTGATTATAAACAAAACTTTCGATTCGAGCCAACTGAGAATGTGACATCGCGACAACACGCCGCATCACAACGCACCGCTTTGTCGTGTTGTCGCTAGCAACAACATGTCGCACAAAAGCGTTCCAAATCAGCCACCATAAGATATGCCAGTTGTACTTTTGAAAACACGGTTTGAAAAAAAATATCACTTTTCCTACTGAACTCTTAGCATTTTGCAAGTACCGTAAATTCACTAAATTTTGTTGGAGTAAAAGTTCGTGGTTTTGTTGAAAAGGATAGTTTCGTGGTTTTCTTTAATTTGTGAATTGTCGGGCATTTTTTTGCACACAAAAAAGTAAAATGTAAATAATTTTATGCAAAAATATTCTTACAACAGCAGAAATAAAAATTCGTTGTATTTAAACTCGTGGGCTGACAGTCCTACCCACGAAAACATTTTTGGCCCCGGATGATAATGATTTTGAAGTTATAGTTATAAAATTTGGATTGGTCATTTCCCGTGCATTACTTGAACTAAAAAATTATTCTTTCTAAAATTTGAAAATGTATTTACTTTCCAGGTTGCATGAATCTTAGAACAAAAATTAAGTTTCGGACAAAAATGGGTAATTATAATTTCTCTTACCCTTGTTAGTATTCTGTCGTCTTGAAAATCAAGCATATTCCACAGCGACTTTCTTAATTTTGGCAGCCATACATGTTTTTCCTTCTCAAGGCCAACTTCCGGAAATAAATGCACGTGAAATTTGTCAAGTATCTCTTGATCATCTTCAAACGATAGATACCTGGAACAGAAAACATGGCGACCATGGCGATATTTTTCGGTTTAGCAATATTATGACACACTTTGGGCAACAATGGCGTAAACGTTATTGTATTGTTGTTGTTTTGATGTAATCTCGCCATTATTTCGTGTCAAATGAAATTTTAATAAGCGTGTATATCACTAGTAGCAACACAAAATGTTTTAAATAGGAACTGTCACTTATGTACTCAAATCACCATCGTCGTTCACCAACGGTATGTGCAGTCTACAAAGGGTGGAAGGAAGGAAAGAAGGAAGGAAGGAAATCTAGCATTGGCTATCAGCAATATCGTTAAAGAATTTCAAAAGATTTTATCTTAGTCTAGCATAAAGAAAGTCGTTATTTCAGTTTTTTATTAGATATTGTAGTACAGTATACTTGTTATATACCTATAGTAGCAACACTTGGTCATAATTTGTGGATCAAGTCCCCAGAATTCCAACTCAGTTTTGAATGATCCGGGACAGACGGACACAGGCATGTGTAAATCCCCCGTCTGGTAATAGGCCAATACTGCTTCGAAACTTTGCACTGGTCGCTTGAAACACAACGAATATTTGCCGGCTGGAAAAAATAACATAATAAATTTTTAAAAAAAGGATATTCGTTTAACGAGCTACACTCTTGGCGCATACTGGCAATCAATTAAAACGTTTCGGTCCTTTCCGTCAGTCTTCGAATAAGGACCTCGAACACAATATAGTATGAATACACAGAACAGAACGGATACGGTATTTCGGGCTAGCCTACGCAAAGAAACTAGACACATCGTGTATATCCAGTATAAACGCAGGAGTGTGCAAATAACGCAGGAATTGTGCAAAAGTAACGCAGAATTGTGCGATTAAGTGGCTAAAACGAGCACCACAATAAGTAAATAGACCAATATTTTTCATTGTACACCAAATTGGAATAAATAAGTGAGCGCATACGGTTGCTGATAAAACGTAATTGAGACCATTTTACGACGTAACGCCGAATTCGTGAATGTTATTTCGGTTATCTCATTAAAAGTAGCTAAATCCTATTTTACCAGCTTCCTTCATATTGTTATATGACACTTGTAGTTTGACAAATGTCTTAGGTAAACATAATATGTAAAATATAGTTTAAAATGTGTTAAATGTACATATGTATTTGACGAAACACAAAAGTCACCTTCAAAACGGTAATCATGTTGTCTTTTTAACGAATGATCCTAAAAAAAGTAAAGATATTCCAGATAAAAGTTGTAATGCTGGTTAAAGAATAATGTCGTAGCAGACGTATCAGCTAATTTATTTTATTAAAATTTGATTTAGAATAAAATATTTTGGTTCGTTTACTATGCTTTTCGTTTTGTCAATAGCATTGCACAGTTTTGGCGTTACTTTTACGTTAATTGCACATTCCTGCGTTACTGGATATGCACGATGAGACATGTGAACAAATAAAAATTTAATGCTGGGAGTTGTTGACAAGTTTATTTCCAATATATCAAGTAAATGCCCAACTAAAATAAGTGAATTCATAGATCTATACAAAAGTAAACAATACATTATTTGTATATTTATTAGACGCCGCTTGCAAGCGGCGTCTAGTAGATATGCATTTGTCCATACAGCAATGGGGAAAATTTTAGACTTGATTTTGTGTATTTTTTGTTTTTTTGTTTTAACAAAATCACACTGTTTTTAAAATTTCTAATAAAAATAGCTTTAAATTTATGATGTACAGCATGTCACAGAGCTTTAAGGGATTAGAATAAACGTTTAACTGAAGTGATAGTGCCATGTTTGAATATCATATTCTATTTATCATTATCTAATTTTAACTACATAATATTTGATTCATTTGTTGGTTCTATTTTGAATTATGCATCAGAAATATGGGGATTCAGTAAATCTAAGGAAATTGAAAGAATTCATCTCAAATTTTGTAAAAAATTATTAAAGGTTAAAACGACGACATGTTCAACGGCTGTATATGGTGAACTTGCACGATATCCACTTTATATTATGAGATATGTAAAAATCATTAAATATTGGTTCAAACTGACTAATACAGATAATATAATATTACAGCATGCGTATAGAATTGCATATGATGATTGTTTATTGGGAAAGAAAAACTGGCTGTCAAATGTGAAAAAATTATTATATGATTATGGTTTTGCATATGAGTACACAAAGAATCGATAGAAATCAACGTTATTGTATATACTGTAATAAGCACGACATTGAGGACGAGTATCATTTTATTTTGATTTGCCCATGTTATATTGATTTAAGGAAAAAATATATAAAAAAGTATTATTATGTAAAACCAAGCATGTTTAAATTTGTAGAACTATTAAAAATGATAAAAGAACAATTCTTAAAAATTTAGCTATTTATATTAAACGTGCTATGACTTTAAGAGCATCTGCTACACATATTTAAGTCCATCCTCTTAGAAAAAAAAACGATGAAATTGTATGCTTAAAGTATCATGATTATATTATGTATTTGTAATTTTATTAAATGTAAATGTGTAAATGTTATGTATGTGTTATTGCGATTTGATAATTATAAACACTGGTTTATCATGTGACTGTATTATATTACATGTAAATGTATTAATTTTGTAAATATGTTACGATGATGTACTTATGGTACAAATCTAATAAAATAAATGTTCTGTTCTGTTCTGTTCTGTAATAGAGAACGATTTTCAATGCTAATTGACTGTTCACACCATTTGGCGGCGTCTTTGATGTGCAGCATCAACATTAACTTGTTATTATTGTTGTAGAGAAACCGAGAGTCCAAAATGCCAACCCATGTTTGTTGAGTTATTTTACATTCATGATATGGTAAATTTAGTAAATAACAAGTAAAAAGTACATTGACTATAATGGACATTTGCAACCGCCAAACCTTTTGTTTTTAGCTGGCACAACAATCCCAATGACAATACAAGCTGGATGTAACCTATAACAAGTCAGGAACAATAAAGAACACTTACCACCAAAGACGTTTTTATGTATAAGAGAAGACGGCGCACGCCTGATGTCGTCAGTATCAAGTTCGTACGTCACGCCGCTTACGTTGATCGTAACAATGTCATTTTTCACTTGATTCTTCTCTTCATTGCCGTTGTTGTTCTCTACTTGGTTGTCCTCTTCTCCTGTTGCAACAACTGTTTTGTCGTTGTTTAACATGTCTGAAAATGTATAAAAAACATAACTTCTAAATTTACTCAAGACGAAATTAAAAGTCAGAACTATGGAGAAACTTAGTTGGTTAAATCTGCAGAAGCTAGAAAAGCACACTGAAAGCCCAAATTTGCAGCGATATTCTTGCTTACAAATACACGCCTTATTCTGTAAATCAGCTTTTCGTATAAAGATTTCGTTATGCTTTTCACGTGCGATTGTTTTGACAAAGCCATTACAAGCTCATAGTGATTTTTCTTTCGGTATGTTAACATATGAATTAATATCCTCATATAAAACATATCGAGAGAGAGAGAGAGAGCAAAATCATTATCTAATATAAAGTATACTGCGACATGATGAGGTCCCACTATTGCGTAACTGTCTTTTTACTATAAACGTGCAATAAAATAAACTTGATTGGTAATAAAACGCATATGCCTGCCTTATGGCGCGTTAATGTTGTTTTCTACGACTTTTGTTAAAAACAAAAAATCAGTCGTTCACGTGAATAATTTAAATGGGACACCATAATGCCACGTGGGTAATGTCTTCTCTTTTGCCGCGTTGTTAAGGTAACCACTTTATGCCATGTGGTTAAGGTGACCTCTTTTGTCACATGGTAAAAATTGCCGACTTCCTATCATTGGCCCTTTACCGCTTAGGGTTCAAAGCCCGTCTGGGAATTTGAGTTCTTTTATGTGAGGTACCTGCTCGTGTATGGAATGCACGAAGAGGCGCCTGAAGTTTTCCATCACCTTCATAGTATTTTCTACTTATTACTTACTCGGAATTGTCCATGAACTTCCACTATATTTCTAAGTAGGGCGATGCTCCTTTTGCCCTACGCAGATTGCGCATGCGCGAGAAAATACTACTTCCGATCGATTTTCCTAGCGTATCTAGACTATCGCCAAATGACACAATTAATTTCATGTTTCTTGGCTGTAAAACTCTTTACCCAAATACACTTATTTTATTGTGTCTATAAACGCTGTGTAAACTACTATATTTTTATAAGATTGTTTTTTTTTTAACTTCACTGCACGTAAAATGTAACCAGATTTCAATATTATGCCTCAGAAACAAATACAGTAAAGACTGTCTTAGCGACCCCCTGTATATAGCGACGTTCTGTCTTTAGTGACCATAGGTGCGCCGAACAGTATTTACTATATAAATGGTCTTTATGTAGCGACTCCCTGTCTAGTCCGTACAACGACCATGATTTAGTCACCCGTTACGGTATTTGAGCCGTGAACAGCGACTTTTGCAAGGGGAGCAAGGCTTGAACTAGGGGACGACTTTGGCGAAGAAGTCGCCTTCGGATCAGCGACATTGCTTCAAAGAGATTTTGAAGTCGCCCGATTTTTATAATTTTCCGTCATACTTATTTACGCGGCTAGGTCTGTTAATAATTTGTTTACCTCTCAATTACAACCAACTACCGTTAATCCGTTAATTAAGAACGTGTGTCAACTTCAATAAAGTTCAATACACGCCGCAAGGCAAGAGTTCACTATGTTAACTTTCTCATTACGTATTCATGCGATTGACGAATCATAACGCGCGTTGTATCTACGGCAGTTTGCATTGACCAATCGGCGACACGCTAATACACTGTGGCTGTTTGTTGACAATTACACAAAATGGCGACAGATTTAATCAATTTTCGCCGATAAAATGATTAAAGACATCTGCATATACATAATTGCTGCGGTGTTTTGGCGAGTAAAGATAAACAATGCCAAACTTCCTAAAGGTGTGGTTATGTTTGAAACCTCAATTGTTAATTTTTTTCGGAGCACTTATCTGTAGAAATTAAGTGGAGATTTGTATCTAATGTTTTATTAACAGTTGGAAGGCCTTGTCCTAAGAGGTGTTGTGCCTAAATATGAATTAAATTGATTTACTAATAAGGACATTATGGCCAATCTTAAATGTTTTTGGACAATTTGACCTTCAAGGTAAAGGCTATTCAGGGGTCAAGGTAAAAAATTCAGGTCCGTAGGAAGGTCTTGTGCTAAGGGATGTTGTGTTCAAATATGAATCAAATCAGTTTACTAATAAGGAAGTTATGGCCAATGTTAAAGTTTTCAGACGGATTGACGGACTGACGGACGGACAGTTCAAAATAATATGCCTCCCTTCGGGGTATGCACAACGTCTTGCAAAGAAATGCTGCTGTGCAAAAACGTTTT